ACATAGTTTTAATATTGATTATTCCACTATATAACCTGCTCAAACTAGTTTTAATATTGATTATTCCACTATATAACCCGCTCCGTTATATAGTGGAATAATCAATATTAAAACTATGTTTCCGCTCAAACATAGTTTTAATATTGATTATTCCACTATATAACCCGCTCAAACATAGTTTTAATATTGATTATTCCACTATACAACCCGCTCAAACATAGTTTTAATATTGATTATTCCACTATATAACCTGTTCAAACATAGTTTTAATATTGATTATTCCACTATATAACCCGCTCAAACATAATTTTCATATTTCAGTAGAATATATAGTACATAAGTTAAACACATTCATAAAAGACTAGATTACCGTATCAGGAAGCCACATAAAGAGTCCCCTGATGGGACAGCGGTAAGTCTACGTGTTTGTTTTTTCAGCGTCAGTCCGTACCGGTATTTTAGGTCGAAACCTTCAGATCGGGTTCATTTTTGACCTTATCCCTCCTCCTTCCTGTGAAGTTGTTTGTTTTAATTATTGTTAATTGTCTATTTACAAGAGGGCCGGAGTTAGCTTAACAAACACTTAGTCCGACCCTTTTCATAGGCTATGTCCATGTATAACACACTTGGTGCGTACGTAGTGATGAACACTTCGTTGGTACTAAGTCGGTGCGATAGTCCTGCACACTCGCTAACAGTTCTGAAAATCACTCGCGCACTTTTCTAGGAGTGTATTCACATAAAAACCCTAATAATACACTCATAATTAATGATATGTTATATCTAGCAATGTAGTTCATATCTAGTTAATGTAGTTCATTAATGGGGAGAGGCACTTAGGTGCTGTTCCTCCCATGTATAATATATTTCGTTATTTCTGTTAAAAGGTTATTTTATATTGATTTTTATAGAAATATTTCATTGTCATGTGTTGGAATCTGTCAGATATGTAAGGCGTATTTATACAGAAATTTGCTTGATGTGCTTATCGGTACTCCGTATGCGGCAGTGTTTTGGATAGTTTGAATTTTATTTATTGTATTTTGTGATATATATATATATATGTACCAGGCTGGACGTGCATATTCCAGTACTGGTCTGATAATATGTTGTGTCTTTGTTTCTACCTGACAGAGCTTGGTGGTTAGGGGGTGCTTGTCTCGCAGGTTTCGAATCCCCATCACCGAACATTTTCGCCTTTTCGGCCGTGGGGTTGTTATAATGTAACAGTCAATCCCACTATTCGTAGGTAAAAGATCAGTCTAAGAATAAGTGGTCTTAACTAGTTGCCTTCCCTCTAATCTATCACTTCTGAATTAGGGATAGCTATCATAGACAACCCTCGCGCGAAATTCAAAAACAAATAATCGTTAATGTTACAAACCCGTATTAAGAAAAATCCCCCTAAGTCTTGATCTTGTTGTATGCACAAAATGTGATATCGTGTTTGTACCTCAGACAACGGGAATTCTCGTCATCTAGTATAATAATTAATAATGATTGAAAACATGGAGATCCATATGATAATTCGGAAAGGCTACCACTGAAAGCTCCGTCAGGGAGCAACACTAAATTAGCCAGTAGAAAATATAGCAATAATTAAGGTTATATAAATTATTTATGGCAAAATAATTGAAAAAGAAGTAATTAGATGAACAGAAGCCATAATCAATATAACCATATATATATATAATTTAAAATAATATATACCAGATTGACAATAGAAAACTTACAGAACTAAATTGAAATAATGTTGGCCAATATGATTTATCTTTTTGTGATTTTGTTTACGAAGAAAAAGTAAAATATGTATTAAAAAAGATCTATTTTCACTTAACCGCATTTTTGTGTTGAAATGTGCGTTCATGACTTATGGAATTCATAGCCCTACGTTCTTTTAATAGTCGTGTTACGTGATATACTTACTGTACATTTCCAGAGACATACGTTCTTCATTATATATAACCCCTATGTCCGTTCTAGTTATTCTTTATCTCTGAAGTGTTGATTTCATTGTTTATTTTATTTAATGTTTCATATAAATCTGTTTATCAAGTTGAATAATTTCTTAGTAGTGATTTGTGAAGTTTGTTTACCTTTTTTTTAATATTGTATCTAATCTGAAGAGCACTCTGAGATACACCGAAAGTGCTCCTATCAAACTCATTAACAGGAGATGAAAGTAACTCATGAAAACGACGGGGAATTTCTTAAAATAAAATCCGCTAAGTAGGCTATGGGCGTCTTTTTTGTTGTTGTTGTAAGGGCTGTACATTCCTAATCTCTTCTGTACAACCCATATGTCTGTCTGCTCTATATTTGAGTGTCTAAAAGAGATACAAGAGAGGAATGAATGTGGTTTCAAATTTAAGTTTTGGTTTCTTTACCCGAGTCAATGTAACATAGTATTTGTTGTTATTTTCAGGTGATAGCGTCATGTGAATCTTCTGTCAATTACGAACTGGTAAGTGGCATGTGATTTATAGTATCACACACACGTTAATTTATCTGTTGAATTTGAACAGGAATTTGATAAGTTGAAGATATTGGAGGTTTTATTTTTTTAACTTATTTAGTTTGTTCTAATTTCAATAATATTCTTAAATTATTATTATTATTGAAGGATTTAATCGACCATTTTTCTGCAACACCTTAAACAACATAACCCGAATCTTGAACGAAGTCTTACATTGTCTGAAGTTCAATGTTTACAGAATCATAATCATTAGAAATCAATGACTATTTTATGGCTAAACATACATACTGCGTGGTCTATTTCATCCATTAGCTGACGTCATACGTGTTAAGCGTTAAAAAATATTTTAACTGGAATAAGGAATTATTACCATAACATTCCTGTTTGTCATGAGGCGTTTATTTGATTGCGTGTTTTGGCACTGAAGAACGATTTCCTATTGGTTGATAACAAAAGGCTTGGTTGAAAATTTAGTCGGATGATATGACCTTCTAACCAAGGTCTGGTTATTGGGACAGTCGCGTTAACCAAGGTCAAACCACAGGGGTCAGTCGCGTGATTTAGATTTTGATATCCAGCACAAGTTACATAGTAATAAATGAACGTAACAATTAATCCACGCTTTTGGAACAAGATATTAGCATAAAGTCCGGAAAACTAGTTTCAACATTTTAATGTGTCCTCTGTAGTCCTATATTAGCATAAAGTCCGGAAAACTAGTTTCAACATTTTAATGTGTCCTCTGTAGTCCTATATTAGCATAAAGTCTGGGAAACTAGTTTCAACATTTTAATGTATCATCTGTAGTCCTATATTAGCATAAAGTCCGGAAAACTAGTTTCAACATTTTAATGTATCCTCTGTAGTCTTATATTAGCATAAAGTCTGGGAAACTAGTTTCGACATTTCAGTGTATCATCTGTAGTCCTATATTAGCATAAAGTCTGGGAAACTAGTTTCGACATTTCAGTGTATCATCTGTAGTCCTATATTAGCAGGAAGTCTGGAAAACTAGTTTCGACATTTTAATGTATCATCTGTAGTCCTATATTAGCATAAAGTCTGGGTAACTAGTTTCGACATTTTAATGTATCCTCTGTAGTCCTACAAAGTTTTTACAAGAAGAAAATTGCTCTCACAGCTTAGGCGATACCTGATCGTCAGATTCCTGGAAGACACATGTGGTTAGGGAACAGATCAGTTTGAAATGACTTTCAGGTTGGGTTTCGTTGTTGTTAACCCTTTCCCTCTTCTACGTCATTTAATGTTTCTTATGGATATCCTTACTTCACTACTTACCCAAGTATGTATGAGTGAAGCCTATCCTTCTAGTATTATTGAAAGAGAGTGGACAGAGTAGAGTTTTAGGAAGTAAAAATCCTCGGTTTACATTTTCTCTTGAGTGAAAGTTAACCTGTCATCATTCACGTGCACTTTGAGCTTCACATGTGATGCTTATATGAAGCTGTCTTCTAATCTCATACATTGAACCCAAACAACCAGTTCCTATTGCCACGTTCACGAGCATCAGCTGCTTATCAAATAAAACGTAGCTTTGTATCACATGTGATACTCAGACGCTTTAGCATTGTGTTCTGTCAATCACGTGTGATGCACACGACAGGGATAGGGTTAAAATTATATTGGGTTTTGTATTAATATTTTGATCCAAAAGTGTGGTTTACATTTTTAGGTTTATTTAGCTAATATACACCGTATTTTTTTTTATTTTATACTACTAGATAGTGATAAGAAAAATGTTTTTTTTGTACACATTACATTAATGATAACATTCTAGACCGGTTATCTCAGTTAAAAAGTTAGATATGTTGGAATGGTACCATCTAAAGACCAAGGTTAAATCTGTTAAATAAACGAGAACTTCGGACGAATGTTTGGCGAATTAAAATTAGAAAGAGGTTAGGAAGAAGAATTTGTGTTTCATAATGACATATCTTATAGCTTTTATTTAAAGCTTTAGCTGGTAGACTCTACTATTTACAGCAGTTGTCTAATGGTGTTGTTGTCCATTAGTTTGTATTGGTCTCGTTTTGTAGTCTTTACCATACTGAGACATTTAATGCTCTAAGTTTGAATTGATTAACAAATATTTATATTTGTTGGGCTGTTTTGTTTTTTTTAACAATTTTCAACCAGCATTTTATGATGTAGAAACTAAGCCTCATTAAACATTCGAAGTATATATATTGATTATTATTTCACACCACAGTGTTTATAAAAACGTTTTTTAAGTCTGGCCATCCATCTTGCTTTGTTTGGCTTCATTGCAATTTTTTTCTTACAGGCATGCTTGACTATGCATCCTTTATATGTGTGTGTGGTGTGCCCTTCTAAACCTTTGATAATTAGGCTTAACACATACATTGGGTGCATGTGTGTAAATCTAGACAGACTGGCGTTTAAAGTGTCACTGCATCAGCCAAGTTTAATGTTCAGTCTTAAGTCGTAGAAAAAGAAAAATCAAGCAAAACAAGATAACGAAGAAAAGCACAAAAAAAAATGTCCGCGTAAGAAGGATGCAAGGGTCACTCACTGGTGCTCTGAGATCACGATACTTTTAATGAACACCATATGTGACTGACGAATTTGATGCGCCAGAGGGCGGACATGGAGCCACCGTTTGTTCATTTTGATTGTGTAGTGCTTGGGTGATTTCTGACACGAATTTTTGTTCGTGTTTCGCAAATATGTGACGAGAAATAAAAGAACTTGTAAACTCCTTAAGTTTTAACAATATAAAATATACGTCTTTGAATATTACAAATATAGTCAATCTTTCTTTCCCTTCAAGCCATCTCAGTTTAACAAAGAATATTATAACGACCTGTCCATTTCATTTTGACGTCATATATATGAGGGTAGTGTATTTTTACATCGTTTGTAGTTATCTCATTCTAATTAATTAGAAACAAAATTTGGGGTTCCACGCTGGGTTGTTTTTTTAGACTGGTTTCGGAAACATCAAAACCAAATGAAGAGACTAGGAGAAGCTCATAAGAATCAATGTCAACATGTCGAATACACAGTTTAAATTAGTGTTGAAACTTCCCAGTGCCTTTCTATGTTTCACAAGCGTCACAGTGTTTACATACATGTGCTCGTTTTCTTATCTAGTATGTTCGTGTGGGGTTACGAGCTTCGAAATCAAAATCGTAGCTTTCTGTCTGAGTTTTTCTGTTCAAGCTATATTTCTGAAATATGTGTTTGTTTGTGGCTAAGCACGAAGCTAAGTACAAACTGCTGAGGGTTCAACGAAGGAAAGCCCAGTTCATTTCGTTGGAAAACCGAATCGGTATATTGTACATCATATAAGACTTATATATCTGCCTTGTAACTAATAATTTTGTAATCTCAACACAATATACCGAATATATTTCTGAATAAATGTCTTGGTAATTTTCACGACTATTAGTCTAAAGCTTATATTAAACTTTTTTATTTTAAAAATGGGATAAATATATATAAATATAGCCAGAAATATTTTGGTGGACTTATGTACACTTGGAAGCAATATTATTCTAAAACAAGAAGAACAGAATAAAATTTATTAAGAGGATCGACATCTCCTTGGATTATCATCATTAAAGGAAGGAGTTTAGATACTTCTGTCCAACAGAGTTAATTTATGTACATGATAAACTAGACCCAAGTTTAGATACTTCTGTCTCACAGAGTTAATTTATGTACATGATAAATTAGACCCAAGTTTAAATACTTCTGTCCAACAGAGTTAATTTATGTACATGATAAACTAGGCCCAAGTTTAGATACTTCTGTCCAACAGAGTTAATCTATGTACATGATAAATTAGACCCAAGTTTAAATACTTCTGTCCAACAGAGTTAATTTATGTACATGATAAATTAGACCCAAGTTTAAATACTTCTGTCCAACGGAGTTAATTTATGTACATGATAAATTAGACCCAAGTTTAAATACTTCTGTCCAACAGAGTTAATTTATGTACATGATAAATTAGACCAAGTTTAGATACTTCTGTCCAACACAGTTAATTTATGTACAAACTAGGCCCTATTTTTGATCAAGTTTTGTATTTGAAAAAGAACGTAAATCACAAAAATGATTTTAATCTTTGATACCAAAAAGGTACTGAAAGATAAATTATCATTAAATATCTTAGTAGAGTTATAAATAGATATGCTTGATCTTATGATTGCGGCTGTTTAAGATCAAGGGCAAGTGAGAAGTAGTATTCCACTCTAATGGTGTTTCTTTAGATTAATTGAGTTTTTTATATAGACCAACTGGGATTTAACAGTTCAACCATAGTGGTATTTTGTCGTGGACTTGATATTTGCTGCGTTTATATTAGATGTATTTTCTTCATCAGTTTTTTCTTTTTTTTTTAGTTACGAGCATGATACAGGGATAATTTTAATACATAATATTAAAAACGTAATTAACATAACATGCGCACGTAAATAAATAAGACGACGAAGCAATATGATCACATCTCATTCAATGGTTGAGCCAAGAATTGTTACCGTGGTCAATACAGGGATATATATATATATTAAGTTACAAAGGAAATTACCATGCCAGAACTATGATACCACGTGCTTCTTCGGCACTTTTGATGTTATTTCATCCTACAGACCCCATATTTTAGATAAAGGTCTTTATTAAGGCTTCCATCCTCAATTTCTTTCGTCACTGTTGGGCTTAATACTTAATTAGGAAAGAATTCTAGATGATATAAAGCACTTACTTATTAGCATCTTATTAGAGATAAACTCGAGACATAAAATTGAGAGATGAGCTCCTTTTGCTCCTCCGTTAATTTGAATTAAACGTTCTACGTATCAACATCGGCATGTAAAGTAATGATTACATTTTTATCTCTATGCCATCAGTGACAAGTTTACGGCCTTACGACGCTAAAATCCGGGGTTCGATTCCTGTGGCGGAGTTTTGTGCCAAGAAACAATAAACTCTGCCATGTATGA